CCAGGGACTCATGCAACCACCCTGCATCGCTCTGGCCTACGAGCGCTCGTACCTATGGATATCTTCGGAACACGTGTAAGAGGAATAGACCATATACTTTCTGCGAGGTATGAGAAGACTCTGTGAGTCACCCATAAAGGACAGACTGATACCTTGGAAGACCGTCTTGACTATCAGGGTTCGCACATCGGCGTGGCACACCTCACTACCTATACGGAAGAGAATGATGTTTTATTACCAAGGCCTATGGAGTAGCGAAAAATTTCTCAACTAGATTGCCCCGCTTGCATAGTTTTTGTCTTCGAGTCTCGTGAGAAATGCCAGCATCGTTACACCTATGGTGGCCAGAGTCTCCTAGAATTTTGGTAGGTTCATCACGAGGGAAGCCAAGCTTTTGCTTCTTACAGCCATAGAAGTAAGTAAGGATAGGCTTGTCGAACGATGCAACACACCAAAAGATCCTAGTCTCTCATCCTTCCTGTTCCTGCGGACTCAAACGATTGATATTGTCAACATGTGGTCGCTGATGTACAGCGCACATCTGTTTGATACAATCAATAAGCTAATGGCAATAACTGCCAAATAAAGCAAGTAAATACGTTGTAATATTAATATCAACATAGTCGCAAGTACATAATATACAGAGTATCGTTCAAAGCAGATAGCAAATAGGAAAGGCCTCGCAGCTGATATCCTTCACCGTCATATCGAATTCTTCGACGCCAGCACCGCCATATAAACAAGTCCCGCATCTGTCTCGTCCAACTTATACATCAAGCTTCACTGATAGGAGGAGCTTGAAGAATCCATTCTCCGATAATCTTGATGGTCTTTTGCGTCTTGATTTTGGCATCCTCAAGCAAAACCGGATCACGTACAATACCGTCCAGGTGCTGATCAAACCCATGGACCGTATCAGGAACCAGAAGCCACCGGTAGCGGCTTCCGTCAGCTCCAGACACCTCGAAGTGGTAAACTTCGTCGTCTAGCACGAGCTCGCCATCACCGACGACTTCAGGCTTCCCAACCTTTGCTGGTGGGGGCGGACGGCCCGCAAGCCTGTGAATGAGCCTCTGGCCTTCTTGGGCAAGCATATCCAGCTCGCAGCCGATCATAAAGACTTGCTTGGGCAGAGCCTCCTTGGGCGCGAAAGTAGGACTGAGTAGCGGGTTGCGGCTGTCTTCGCCGGGAATCTTGTAAGCCCAGTCAAACACGGGTGCAATCCCTTGCAAGAAGTCCTTCTCCTTTGCACGGAAGCCTCCGAGCTCAGGCTTGTACTGTCGCGTCGGGGCCTTCTCTTCTCCCGTGATGGAGAGATCAGCCGCCGGGTACAACGGCACGATGCAAGTGAGATGCTTCCTGACTGTCTCGAGTTGCGCCACAGCCAGGGTCAGGTTGCCGCCCGCAGACCAGCCGGCCAGCGATACTCTGGTACGATCCAACGGAAGCGAGTCATCATTGAGCGCGGCGAGGAAGAGCTCCTCGCAATCATGAATCGGCTTGGGGAACGGGTTACCCGGAGCTTTGGCGTAGTTGAGACCAATGACAATTGAGTGGTGCTGCGAAGCATACGTCTGATTCCAATCGTCGTTGTCATTTGGCGTACCGAGCACGAATCCACCCCCATGGATCGTGAAGAGAACCGGCAGCTTGTCTTTGGACGTTTTGTCAAAGCATTTCGGGAAGAAGACCCTGGAACGTGTCAATCTCTACGCCAAAGGCGATGAGGTTTCTCAAAAATTGGGGCGAAATAAAGAAACGCACCTGACGGGTAAGTACGGCCTGCATTCGTACGTCTTCACGATCTCTGGACGGTTCTCAGGCGGGATGACATGTGCTTTGACATCACGAACGAAGAGCGCGGGCTTCACCAAGAGATTTTGGATCGCAAAGGCCGTAGCGCCGTACCTGACCTTGGAGAGGAGCGGCAGCTCTGGGACGCGATGTGAGTCGTCCGTGGTATTCTGATCTTCGGCCATCGTTGAAGCCAGGCGCGCGGCGACGGGTTGAGTTGAGTTGAGTTGCTTTGGGTGCTCGAGTGTTGCAGCGGATGTTGCGTTGGAAGAAACAGGCGGGGTTGGGATGAGAAGCGTCGCTGGCTGGTGGGAACGGCTCGGTAGTTGTAGTCGCATGCACCTCGGTTTCGCGTTTAGAGGGCCATAGCGAGGTGCAAGCCGAGTACGAAACAAGATACGAAACCTTGTACCACGGTCAACATGATCGGATAATGGGTGCTTAGAGACGTCATGTCTCTAGTTGGTAATGGTGCATAAAATGTAAGCATGTCCCTCAAGTTTGAATTGAGGCGCAATTTGCAGTCAAATCTCATAACGCCTTCAATTGCTGACGGCATCACAAAGCGTCGGGGACATGTGAATAAGTGCCGGCCTTAGTAGCCGAACCCGCACCGCCGGCGGGTCTCCACTTTAGACCGGTAACTCGGGAAACTTCATGAGAGCGACAACAGCACAGTCCTCGACTTATCATGCATTGCCACAACGCACAAACCGTCCAGCATTCAATTTCCAACCAAGTGACACCTCGAACACCCAAAGTCATGATGGCGCAGCTGCGCTCATTCGAACAGCAACTGCATTTTGTGGCAAACCCCTGAAGATTGCAGCATGTCCATCGCCACGAAACAGCAAAAAGAAAAGTAGAATGAGGCAAAAAGTGAGCTTAGGGGCGCTACTATCATGAAGATGGAACCATCTGGAACTTACGGCCCGTGATCAAACAGTGAAAATAACCTAGGTGCGGCTGATTGACATACGCACTTCACGCCTCCTTAGGTGAAGTCTAACTTAGTGACAACTTAGCCATCTCAGATCTCTGTGATACCTCAGTAGGTACGCTGGTAGATGGCCTACCAAATTAGTACACTTCTAGTGAGCTACTGTAATGCTTGTTTTCCTGAGATTCAGAGGTTGTGTTGTGAGTTTGATCTTACAGACCATGGAAGACATGAAACGTGCTGCGTGCAATAGTTTCGGCATTTTAACACCTCAGCCGGAAATAAGAAAGTCCAATAGAAAATTTAGAAATATTTTCATGTTCCGATCTTGCAAGAGGAAATACGGTCTTGTTGGCTCTTTCCCTTTGACGAACGCAAATATTGAGTTGGTCGAACCTCAGGTGTCAAATTCCCAGGCTTCTACCGGGATTTCTCAGTGACCGACTCTTTCTGTTATTCTTCCGGTGCTTATCCCTTCAACAACAGCTCTTTCTTTCATTACATGCAACTTTGCATCTGACTCATCTTGAGTTTTCTGTGTTCAGAGGCTGCCGAGGGCTGTCAACGAGGTCGGCAAATTCACGCCAGATCCCTGGAACACAGTGGTCCCTTTACCACACCGTCAGCAACATTCTGAGAGACCACCAGAATTTCTCTCACACTTTAGGGAACACAGTGGTCACCATGGTTCGACCTATGCTTGACATGAGAAAGTAAGTGATCTTATCAATTGCCGTAAAGGGTATGGCCACTGATTGTCTGCATACAGAATTCTCAATTCGCCGCAAATCGAATATCATGTCGGCGAAAGCGGCAAGTCATTCTCGGTTCCCAAAGCTGTGATGGAATTCCTCTCTCCAAAGCTTGTGCGTATGCCGCCTTCTGCACAAGGACAGCCCAATTCCGCTTCAATCACTCTGAGAGATATCGACGAGGCTACATTCACTCGACTGGTGGAGTACGCATATCGCCAAGACTACACGGTCCAAGGTCTCAAAGCCCGCTCCTTTGCCTCCGACGAAGTCAGCGTTTTGCCTTCACTCTATGATAAGCTCGAGCGGGGAGATGAGTATTCAGAGAGCAACCCTTTCATCCACGATTCTGGCATGGATTTCCTTCGCGAACTCAAGGGTAGCTACATAATGCTCGACAAATCGATCCACAAAGAAGCTCTCGAGGCAAAGAAACTCCCTGGCCGCTATGTTCGCTTTGACACCCTCAACGCCCACATCGCCCTTTTGAACGTGGCGCACACATACGATATCCATCCTTTGAAGGATCTCTGCAAAGCGCACTTCCGCGAGTGTCTGCTTTTCATGCCTCTCAATAGGTACACCGTGGCTGATCTGCTCACTGTCTGGGATTCTGTTGAGCACATCGCTGACTGCGCTCCCGGCAATGCGATTTGCAACATTATCCTGGATTACTTCGTCGCCACTCTCCCCACTTCGAGACATCATCCGAGATTTCGGGATACACTCGTGCAGGACGAAGCCTTCACCCGCCAACTGCTCGACAAGTTGCCGAATGTAGCTCCTCCAATTGACGACTAAGGGTCATGTGTGTTACAGACTGGAGTCTATGGGGAAAGCTTTGGGACAGCGGGAAATTGTCTTCATCGCGAAGAGGGCTCGACGGATTATTAAGGCTTTTGCTTCGGAGTTTGAGTCGTGGATGACGTCCATAGGGAAATCAAAAAGACAACGAGGTCACAAAATTATTGTCCGGAAGCGTGATGCCGGTTCGTTAACATTTTCCTTTCGGGCCCATCATTTCATTTTGCATCCCTTCGTAGCCTCGGTCCGTGATGTTCTTTCACAGATTGCCTAGTATACGATAATACCAGGAAAGAAGGCACCTCATACCACTCGAAGCCTATATCCGGCGCAAAGCAGCCGACACCGGTATCTCTGGCCGATATCTTCGCCATGTAAGGCAATGCCAAGGAGGTCACCGCAAATCATCAGTGATAAGAAATGGCACTAGCACATATCCATGTCAACGGGGGTGGGGTTACTGCGGGGTTGCTCATGGTGATAGCTTCAATGTCCGGCGCGATGTGATCCATGGTTCCGAAATGTCGGGATGATACCGCGTGGCTCTCCACTTTTCCCCGACCACCCTTATCTTTTGAGGGAATTCGCCGACAATGGCACTTTCAAGACTTATGAACGGTGTCGCTATAAAAAGGTGCTGAGCATGTGGGAGTTAATCAGCTTTGCCATCTCATTCCTTGTTGGGCCGCTATCACCTGTCATACTACAAGATGCTCATCTCACAAGTACTATTGGCGCTGGGTGGAGTGAGTTTTGGCTCGGCGCATTTCATAGTTCCCAACGATGACCAGGATATGTCCGGTCTCACGGTCAACTCGATCCCAGCAGCGAAACGAGTCGAGTACATGCAAAAGGTTGAACCGTCTGGGCGCTAGGTTCTTGTCATATGCCGCCGTCCGTTTGCTAATGTTTTCCAGGCGAACGAGGCGCTCTTCCGGCAAAGCGGACCGTAAGTGTCTATTTTCCATGTCGGTTTCAAGTACAGTCCTAGATCTGACTTACATCCTCTCAGTTGCCCCTTTGCCGCATTTGGAACCATCATCGTCAACCACACCAGCGACGAAGTTGTCTGCGAGGGAGCAAATTTCCGAACTGGCGACCCTACTAGTACGTATTGAGAACTATGGTAATTGTAGCTACGACCTACTAAGAAAACTTCCAGTTCACGGAGAGATCTCAGCCATCAACGCATGCACAGCCAAGTTCGCTGAACAGGGCATGACGCCAACGTAAGGCCTGTGAATCACTGTTCAAGGACCAGGGCTCATATTCTCGACAGACAGATCTATGCCGCATGGGGAGAGCTATCAATCTACACAAACGCTGAGTCGTGTCCGATGGTAAATGCTTCAAGTTGCCAGAAAGCACAGGAGCTTCGGTAACTAACGAGTTTCAGTGCGCGAGTGCAATTCGATGGGCGGGTTTCAAAGGCAGGTTTACCCTTAGAAGCTGTTGTGCCCGTCAACGACTAACACTGACCTGTCAGAATACGTCTATGGCACAACGATTCAGCACAACTACAACGTCGGCTGGGGTGTTATGACTCTCAGCAGTGTAAGAGCCCCTGCATCAGAAAGAGACGAGGGTAGCCCTGCTAAACATACTATCTAGTACGACGTTTTCCAGCAATCTCGCCAGCTGCCTGGTTACCAAACGTCCATGATCGGACAGATCCTCACAAACGAGACGGACCTTCTCTTCTCATGGCAGTACAACGCGAGCGCGCCTTGCCCGAACGATTGCTTTCGTGTCCCAAGCGCGACTCGAGGCGGAACGACCTGCTCCAATGTTACTGTCTCTCGAAGGGACTATGAGGCGCTGTAGATAGTGACTACAAAAAGAGACTTGGAACTTTCATTGGCGATTCGACCGCAGCCACGCTAACAGTGATTGCGGGGTCATGGAATCACTGAAACATGGCTCATCAAGTGGGTGGAGAAAAGAATTATCACTGCTGTGCCTATTCTCCGTTTGGAAAGTATTCTCTACTGAATATATGAAGAATGTTTCGTAGAGATATAGAGATTACGGATATAATAAGGATGAGAACTAATCATATAGTAGTAATAATAAGTAGGTAAGGGAGCATTACAAAACTCTATTGACCAGCAACTGCGAAATATACGTGTACTCGAAGGAAAACAGGCGGAATTTGGTAAGTAAATATTGTTACGTGATAAGAGGGACTGAAACTCTTGACTACGTTCAAATCAGGGAAGAACGTCCGGATGCCTCCTTCCACCAATCCACCTGTTAGCAGCTCTGCGAGTTCTTAAATCCAGAAAGACTCTTTAATGTCGACTTGAAACTCCTCCACTTCACCTCCAGCAGTCATGGAACTACCAAAGGCGACTCCCAGTCGGGTTCCGTATTCTCTAGCACAACGATGTGGTCGTCTCCCTAGCCGTTCTACAGCGGCTTCGTTCAACAGAGGTATACCTGATCTTGAAGGGTACGTGACATTCAGTTTCGGTTCTGAACATACCACTGACAATTGGCCAGCGTACTCACCTCACGAGTGGTCACCTTTCGGATCGGTCCCGACCGAAAGCCATTCCAGATCCACGAGAAGCTCGTAGCTTCCCGATCAGTAATCTTCGACCGCATGCTAGCCAACCACACGCGCGAGTCCCTCGAGGGTGTCGTCGAGATTGAAGACGTCGAGCCAGAGGTATTCACGAGTTTTATCAAATTTGCGTTCTACGGAAACTACAACGTGCCGACGTCGCACAAACTTCAAAAGGCTGAAGATCAAGAGCCCGACAACGCGAACCTGATTCCAGGAGAGACCTACGACTCCCTTCTCGAGCACGTCCTAAAACATGACTTCAGACTATCCAAAAAGCAACCGTATCTACGATATCTGACGCTTTTCATCAACCAAGGAACCCCCGGAAAGCTGTACGGCATGCCGCCCGGGTTGCCGTGGAATAAGGACGAGGAACTCGAGGCAAATTTTGACCTCATGGTCGCGAACCGCCTGTTTGGGGAAATTTGCCTGCATCACGTTCAACTCTACATATTCGCCGACAGATACGACATTGCGCAGCTGAGGCAGGTTAGCCTACACCGTCTCCACAGCTCTTTGACGCGCGCGAGACTCAGCGACGCTGGGTATCAGCTTCTCTTCGGCGTCATCGAGTTCGCGTTCACCAACACAATGCCGGGAGACAAGATCCAAAAGCTGCTGATTCAGACGTGTGTTGCCGACTTTAGCATGGTGCGCGCGATGCCCAGCTTCACCGATCTGCTGCATCGCGTACCCGAGCTGGGGATTGAAATCATGACTGAGCTCCCCACGTATTGGGAGGAAAGGAAGAAGGCTATCAATGATGTCAATGCAAAGTTTGCATCGGCACAATCGGACGCTACAACGAGCAAAGAAAAATCTTGAAGAGATAGGAACAAGCGCTTTATCGAGTTATACGACTCAACTTGCTTGGAAGAAGGGAAGCAATGGGCAATCGAGGAATGGCGCAATGGTCATTGCAAGTGCTGGGCAGGAGAGGATCTTGCTTCCTAGAAGTTCATCACAGGGAAGAAGGGAAGGCGTTCTTGGGCAGTCGCCTGTTTTTAGAAGCAAGCAAGTTACGAAGCAGCATTCATTCGAGCAACGACTCGAACATTGAACGTGGATTCTAGATCAAAACAGCCAACTACTCTATTCAACACATCATGATAGTTCTGAACCATTCACATAGGCAAAATACATGTTTCTATTCAGAAACTCCTTTTATTTGACGGACCCTCCTGTTTTTCAGCTTCAAAGGACTCTTCGTGAAAGAATTCTTGATGAAATTCGTTCATCCCTTGACCGACTATTTTGATTAAGGAAAAAAGATAATGAAGTTCGTTGAAAGGGAGACAATCTGAGAGATGGGAAACGCCCAAGTCCTTGTCCTTACGAAGAACCTCTCTGATCTCATGTTTCCATGGGGCGTGTCCGGTGAATGATAATGGCAGTTCCCTCTGAACCGATCTTGCCGCTCTAACGAAGTGTCCGCCAAAATTACATTGCTTCCCTCTTGATAAAACCCCTTGAATGATTTATGATGTAACCTGGCCCCAAACAGCTCTAGGCGCCTGGTGCCCTTGGCACTAGACCTTGAAGTTCCTCCCAGTAGCTATGGGGAATTTCAAGTAGCAATTCCACAGCGTAGTCCGCGAAGTCGCAGATCAGTTTTCGAACTCCATTTTTCATTGCGAAAATCATATCGCCAATGAGGATTCGTAGAAGTAGCTTGCGAAGTTTGTCCTGTGGTAATGTCTGTGGATGCAAAAAGCGAAGTACAGAGCACACATGATCAACAACCATGCCGTCTCCAACCGCGTTGCACAGCTTTCGGCCAACATCGTTGACGCATAGTTCCTTGAGATCATCTAGGAGATACCTGTCGGCAAGAATGTAGAGTTCTGCTGGCTCCAAGAGGTGGCTCAGTGCGATGTTGACTTTGGAATCCAGTCCCTCCTTTCGGAGGGCCTCCTTCCGGAGGGATCGGCGTCTGCTTGTTGAAGTCATCTCGTTGACGCCATACTTGCAGAAGTGCTTCTTGCAAAATTCAAATACTGAGATGTGTTTCTCCCCTCTCACTGTTATCCAGGACTCTACCCAAGTTCGTAGTGAGGGAGGCTGTTCAACTTTTGCGCCGGCGTCTCCTTCTTCCTCTGAGCCACATTTGGCGTTGGATATGTTGTCAGGATAGGGTATAGGGTAGCGGCCACTGTAGGCATACTCCAAAAGGAGGACAAAGGTGGCAGGTTTGACGTCGTCCCAAACGATCTTGCCCTCGAGGGATTCTTGCATACCGCCAGTAAGCAAGGCTCGAAGAGGCTCTGACAGGTGGACCAAAGCTCCTTCGTGAACACGGAATTCGCGCTTCGAATCGCCATTGCCGATGACGAAAGTGACGACCCGGGAGTCGACGATTCTACAAAATGTTATTAAATATTCAATCTGAAATGGTTTTTTTTTTTCGGGCGGAAGGAGATAAGAACTTACTCGTCGATCCTTCTCTTTCGTTTGAGAGACATCAGGACGTTGGGGACCGAAGGTGTGTGTGGATGTAGAGGTGAGAGTCAGGCTGGCCGCGAAAAAGGCCCGTAGATATAGGAGGGAGAGAACAGGGAAAGCAGGAAGTCGCGACTCCCGTATTCAATTACGGATGGAAGGAACTCATTTCAAGCTCTCCATTCTTTCCAAAGAAATGAGGAGCTGATTCCAGATGCAGATGTACGGTCTAATCCTAACAAGTAACATTCTTCACCTTTTGTTGACTTCAATGGTCGATCCTGTTGGACCGGCGCTCCAAGTCTTCTCCGCTCTTCATAGGATTTATGTGTTTAGAGTAAGTCTGTAACTATCACGGCTTCCAGTAGCGTTGAAAAGTATCATTCACTGGTTGGTGGTAGGAATGAAACAATGTGAAATAGCTCTAAGGTATCATACCTACACATAAGGTACCTTGCAAGAGAGCCGTCTATAATTATCCACATGAGATGGCAGCTCTTTTTCGGTAGATTCTCAGGTACGAGGCTACGCTGTTTCACGTCATGACAAAGTCTAGTCACACACACTGCACTGGCGGATGATGAAAAGTGTGAACATTCTTTGATGGACGGTCTGTCTCTTTGGGTTCTTTCAAGTAGAAGAAAGGATTCTTCCTCTGATTACTAGAAGACGACTCAAGGCGTCGCAAGAGAGCTAGTATCGTGATGCAACGATACCCAAGTTGTAGACCCAAATAGCAGTTCGCATCGTGCTAGACCCTCTCTGTAGTAAAGTCGCGACCGCCCTCCGGTAAGATCCTCATCCAGCAAGTTTCCTGGCCTCAAAGACCACATGTATTATCCTTTGCGCCGTCCCCTCACTAGAATCGCAGCAAGCGTTTTCGCTGTTCTCTCTCTGGCTGAGCAGATGCGGAATCTCTAAGCGATGAACTGGGTTTTTGATATAGCGGCTTGCGGTTTCTAGGCTCTAAATGCATGGCCATGAAACGATCACACTCAACCAGGTCCTCTTGAACTTTGGGTGAGCGATTGAGAACCTCAGTATAGATCTCAGGAACTTCTTCCGAGACTTTGATGATGCAGGGAAATTCGAAGGCTCTGTCGAACTCAATGCGCAGGTAGTCAATGAGTACCTCTCGAAATTGGTCATTTGGCAATGTTTTTGGCCAGATGAAGACGATGAGGTCGCAGATGATCTGCGCGAATTCGTCGGTAAATGGATGGCGAACAATCACACGACGTAACTTCTTGATGCATGCATCCATCAGACTGTGAATGATGTACTGATCGCCCAAGATGTAGACTCGAGCATGCAACATGAAGTACTCTCTCGAGTGAATGTGTATAATTTGCAAATCGTCATAGTGCCAGTCGTGCATGACGCGATGCCAAGCCGGATCAAGGTCCCCTGGTATGCTCTCTCCATTCTCCGAGTGCCATGCGTAGTAGATTAGGCGATCTTGAAGCGACTCAGCCTTTTCGAACTGGCGCACTCTCTCCTCCTTCTCATCGGCGATGATGAGCTTCTTGGTGTAGGCGAACTCCATCAAGATAGCGAAAATGTCGGAGTCGACGTCAGCCCAGACAACAACGCCCTCCACAGACTCTCTCATTCCATTGGTAACGAGGGCTCGGAGTGGCTTGGAGAGGCGACCGATGACTGCCTCATGAACGTTGTGTTCGACCTTGTCCCAACCGACGATGAACTTGATGATGCGAGACTTGGTGATCCTGTATCATGTTAGCAAATATCTCACTACTGAGCGAAGGGGAAATGAAGTGGCATTTTGGGTCTGCGTACTCGTAATTGGCTTTCTTCTTAGCCATCGTGAGGAGCTTGGTCGCGATGACCAGCTTGTTCAGGTGGTGAGGAATCTCAGGGTGAGAAAAAAAGAGAGAGTGAGATGGGGAAGGTCTATCGGAGATGAGGGACAGGCCCTGAGAGTGGGATTGATTAGAACGCAAAGCAGGTGTAGAGGAAGAACTGGTAGACCCGGAAGGTCTGGAATCGGAAGGATGTGACTCGACCCTCCTTGCCTTCCTCTTCTGGTGCCAGCTCAATTCTTAGCAGCAACGGAAGGAGCACCTTGGGCATGTTGAACGCGTTTTTCTCGTTGAAAGGGGTGACTAAGTGAATTCTCTGAATATTTGTGAGTGAGTACCTATTCACTCGAGACACGAAGCCGCCTACTAACCTGTGATGTATTCAGTACCCAAGGTAAAGAACTGTGCCTACTTACGTTACCTTGTGTGGTAACTGATACATCGCATCAGACACGATATCTGACCTCTCACTCCCAGGCTGTAATGAGGCCAAACTGTCCTTGAAGAAGCCATTTACAGGCAGTTTCCCACCTTGCTTACACATACTTTTGTTTGAACTGACTAGGAAGGTACGAGAATGGGAGGCTAACATCATTGAGGAAAGGTCATCACGCTAGCTTGTGGCTTCAGAATCTTGAAAAGGTATTTTATTTTAGGAGGCGAGCGTCCTGGGGGTGATCACAGTCGCGATCTGGTGCTATTAGATACAATTCTGGCGTCGTCTCGTTATCGTGGCATTACGATCAGGGCCCTTACTGAGGGATGCCCAACTCCTTGTAGAAGGCTTCGGTGCTAGGCTTGCGTCCAAGGAACTGCTCCAGGGTCAACATCTCCTCCTGGCTTCCGCCCTTCTCCAAGACAGTGTGTCTGTAGCGGCGCCCCTCCTTGCCGTTCATTGGGTCGGCCTTGAAGACGGAGTAGAACATGTCGGTCGAGTAGACCTCGGATGAGAGGTAGCCGTAGTAGCCGGCATCGTAGCCGCCAATCAAGTGACCGAAGCAGGCTTGTCCGTTACCCCAGGTGCTGTATCTGTTAGTATTTTATACTTTGGAATTTAATGGGGTTTCATACCTCTTCTCTCCCTGAGCTTCTGGGCCCTTGATACCAGCGATCTGGCCGCGAAGCTCGTTGTAGGTTGCTGACAAGTCCAACTTCTTGATGGCCTCGTGGCTCTCGGGGGTATGGACAGTCATGTCAAAGGTACCGAAGTGAAGCTGGCGGAGGTTGAACAGGGCAGCGTTGACGTGCTTGGTGGAGATCTGCTTCTCAATAAGGTCATCGGGAATCTTCTCGCCAGTCTCGTAGTGTTGAGACAGCGCCTTGATAACACTAGGGGTCCAGCACCAGTTCTCCAACATCTGTGATGGCGCCTCAACGAAGTCTCTGACGGTGCTGGTACCGTGGAAACGGCTGTATGTGCAGCGGCCAGCAAGGTCGTGGATACCATGTCCAAGCTCGTGGAAGAGGGTGACGACCTCGTCGTGTTTGAGAAGTGAGGGCTTCTTGGGCGTGGGCTTGCTGAAGTTGCAGACCAGAGCAGTGGCGGGGTATCTGCGTGAGCCGTTGGCTTGCAGGTAGCCGGGTTGCAAGTTGAAGTTGGCGGCGTGACCGTACTTGCCCTGGCGAGGGTGCAGGTCAAGGTACAGGTAGCCAACGAATCCTTCTCCCTCAGAAGCATCATCCCAGACACTGAAAATGATGACATCCTCGTGCCATGCGATATCCTCACCCTTGCCAGTGGGGCTCAAGGCCTTGCGGTCCTCAGGCTTCAGCTCAACAAAGACGAAGCCCAGGAGCTCCTCGAAGATCTTGAGCATGCCAGCAATTGTCGAGGTGATGGGGAAGTACTCGGCAATCTTGTTCTCGTCAATGCTGTACTCCTTTTCAATCATCAATCGGTCGTAGAACTTGTGATCCCACAGGTAGTAGTTGCCGTCGTTCTCAACGCCGCGGGCGTCAGTGTCGGCCTTCTTGAGCTCCTGGAGGTGTTCGACTTCCTTGGCGCCACCGGCAGTCAGACGAGAGCGAAGGTCGCCCAAGAAGTCGTTGACAGTCTTGGTTGTCTTGGCCATCTTGTCCTCGATGCGCAGGGCGGCGTGGTTGGGGTAGCCAAGCATGCGGGCAGCCTCATCACGGAGAATGATGGCCTCCTGGAAGAGAGGAACGTTTTGGTTGCACTTATTCTCGTTCTGGATGAAGACCTTGCGTCTCGTCTCGGGGTTCTTGGCGAACTTGAGAGTCGGGAAGAGGTCGGGGTACTTGAAGGAGAGCTTGAGCTTGCCCTCGTTCTCGCCGGTGCCCTTCTCGAGACCATCAAGAACGTCATCTGAAACACCATCGAGCTCCTCCTTTGTGAACCAGATGCCGCCGTTCTCCTCGTTGAGGTTCTTTGTGAACTCAATCTGGATTTGACTGAGACGCTTCTTGATCTCCTTGAAGCGGTCACGCTGGGGCCCAGCGGGGATACCCAGACCCATCTTGATGTAGTTCTTGTAGTCCTTCTCCAGCAACCTCAAGCTCTCGGGGTCCAGGCCCTCCGAGTCTTTGCGCTGGTGGAGAGCCTCAATGAGCTTGTAGACATCCTCCCTCATGTTCACCTCGATCGAGAACTCGTCCATAATGGTGTCGGCCTGGGTCGAAGCCTCGCGCAGGGCGGCGTCGCTCGAGACATATTGATAGAAGCCAAGGATACGAGTCGACAGTCCGCTCTCGTTCTCGTCTTTGGCGATGGGCTTCATAACATTCTCAAAGGTGGCCTTGTCGGCGGGGTAGTCGGCAACGAGCTTGTCGAGAAGGGCGCGAGTCTGGTCGCAAATCTTCTTGGAGTCGCCGACGATGGACTCCTTGGTGCCGGTAAAGACGGGGGGCGCCTGGGGCGGTGACTTGTACTTGTCGGGGACAGTCATGGCGGCGGTCACCAAGGGTCGGTATGTCGATAGAGATGGGGTGGCGACGAGGGGTAGCTGGACTGGTTTGAAGCGCAGCTGTGCAAAGAGAGAAGTAATTCTCGGGACTGCTCTTGGGGCCGCCAGGATGAGAGCTGTGAGGAGGAATATGAGGAAGAAGGTAAGGGAAAGGAGGGGACGCTTGGAGGACGCCACGGCTACTGGACGAAACACGGTTCGATCAGTCGGTGAGTTGGGTGCGTCGGGGCGGGGGAGGGGGAGGAGGAGGAGCAGCTGCAGGACCAGGTCTTGGACACGGGGCAGACGCGGATGGATGCAGGTGGAGGTGTCGATGCCGTAAGTTGGTAGGTGACAAGCGAGGTTAAGCGCGAAGGTACATGTAGCTACGCAGAGAGTGGACTGAGAGCGGTGACTTGCAGCAAGCTTCTGGTAGTTGCGGGATGATTTGTGTATGTGTATGTAAGTGGATGAAGGTTAACGTTAATCCTGACGAGTACGGAATGCGACGGGGTCCCCTTCTCTTTCACCTTCCAGTTGGAGGTTTCCTGAGCGGGCAGTCGCGGCCTGCCAGGGGAGCTCACGTCGAGCTCCCGGCGCTACGACGTTCCGGGCTGTAACGCCCCACGCTGAAGCAAGCGGGGTCTCGCCGATGTACCAGTACGAACAGGAGCCATGTTCTGCATCTACTATCGCAATTTGATACGAGTCTTCGCATGTGTATTTGACAAGAACATTGGTACATTCAGGGACTCTACAGCAATTCTAACATCAAAGGATAGAGGACTTTGGCAAGTGTTGGGACGATTAACTTGAAGGATCTCTACCGGCTGGAACCATTCGGTACCGTAATCCTGCAGGTCCAGGATGCAGGCCACATCGCCTGACTGAAGCGAGCTTACATAAGACGACTGCACCTACCAGATTGCGCGGGGTCCTTTGTTGCTGGGCAGACGGGCCAAGGCCTGGTGCGACATCATGGCTGAGGCCGATGGATCAACATGACTAGATCGCGGAGGCTGTGGCACAGCCGTAGAGCTGTAGGAAATTGTGCCTTGCATTCGGCTTTTTTGGTTCCAAAGACATGAAGCAGTGGATGCATCGCGATGTCTGGTCCTCTCGTCCCAACATACGCTTCCAAAGAGGCACAACCCCCCGACCACCTCGTAAACATCCATCTTCTGGGAGGTTCGCACGTGCGATGATGTTGGTATCATGGTATTTATTTCTTTTGGTATCGGTTCTATTCAGTCCCGTACATGTGTCGTGTGGTCCGGAGCAACGCCTCTGAGGAGGCGGGGGTGAACTCCAGAATACCCAAATTCCCTACAATAGCGAACAACGCAATCGCAACGCAAAAGCAAACGCCATTTCCCATCGTGCCAGCCATGCAAGTATCTCTTTCTTCTCTTTTCGTAAACTGCCTCCGCCTCGTTCCTCTGATCTGTTCGTACAATGCTCGCTCGCTGGATGAATCTAGTTGGCGAGAATGGTTCGGACAAGCTCTGTTGCGCGGGTATCAGTAAACACAGTCTTGGATGCTTGCTATGCAACGAGTTTGCTGAAAGGTGGTGGCTTACCGGTGTAGTTGACCTGGCCAGAACTGGTGTCAACAGCCTTGAGAAGCTCGTCGACCTCCTCGTCGGACATCTTCTCGCCGAGGTTGGTCAGGATGTACTTGAGCTGGCCGACGCCGATGAAGCCCGTCATGTCCTTGTCAAAGACCTGGAAACCGCGGCAGTACTCCTCGGGTTCACCGGGGTCGCGGAAGCCGCCGGGGCGGTTGAGAATGCGCTGGAAGGTCTCAAAGTCGACTGCTCGCGCAAACATCGCTGATCAGTATCGTGTCTCTATGCTGGTGGCATACATCGGTTTTCGACTCGCGGGGGACGCAAGGAACAAAACTCACAGTCGCCGCCGACATTCTTCTCGAGGTCGCGAATCTCGGTCAGGGTAGGGTTCTGGCCGCAGGCGCGGAGGAGGTCGCCCAAGCTGTCGATGGCAACACGGCCGTTACCGCGCTTGTCGAACAGGGAGAAGGCCTCCTTGTAGTTTGTAGAAGCCTGAGCGTCGTACTGGTTAGAAGACATTGTGATATGTTTGTGTGGCTGTGTTTTGCGCAAAATTGAAAGGTCGCGATGTGTGGCAGAGAGCAAGTGACGTTTCGCGGGGTGGTTGTGGAATTATCAAGAATGGGATGTAGAGGTGGAAGATCGGAAAGAAGAACGGTTGCAGGATGAGGAATGTCGTGATGCAGCAGTATGTCGAACGGTCCAGTAGTTTGCGCGGGAAAATTGGCGCTGATCTTCTTTCCTTGGCTAGCTGCGCTGGCAATTGGTGTCCGATCCGTTGTTTGGGTTGCTCCTGTTGGCTGGTGGATGGCGCTTCTGCTGCGCTGGTGGTGGTGGTGGTACTGCTGCTGCCAGCGTCGGGTGCTAGTAGTACTGCGCTGCTGTGTGTTGCCCTTTGCTGCAAGGTTCGCCGCTGAACCAAACCGGCGCTAAGGCTGTTTTTCGTCGGCCATCAAAGGGGTCGAAAGGGGTCGAAAGACTCGAGAGGGGGGTAGGGAAGCCGCTGAATGGCTGGATCGATTTCCTTTGTTTACATTCCGGCTGATGGTGGGAGGGGTGCCGCCGTCCGCGGGGGGAAAACACAACAAAAAAAAAAGCAACAGAGGGGAGGGGGCCCGGATTGGAGGGATAGAGACTCACCATTTTGGTCTGTGTGAGGTGGTATGTGGTATGTACGTGGGGGAAGAGAAAGTAAACAACAGATCAAAAAGCTATTTGCCTTGGGATATCAAACAGGACGAAAAAAGAGACAGAGAAGAGTCGTGATGATGTTTCTTGGAGGTTGCTGTCTGCCAGTCGAAACACTTTATGCTTGCACTTTCCCTTTTCTTCGTCTCCTTCCCCCAGTCTGTCAGTCAGTCACCACCTTCCGCTATCTGTCATGTACCCTCAGGCTCAGTATTATTTTTATCCAATGCATCGAGGGCACACGCACCCAATTGGCCTCGGGTTCGAAGTGTCATGGGCCATGGGCATTCCCCGTCTCCGTTATTCATGCGTTTTGGGCTGGTGGTGGCAGCAGCGGTGTGCACCGGCACCCAAAACTATCGATCGAGGGCCCCTGGAGGCGGTCTACCTATCTTACCGTCTAGGTAGGTAGGTAGGTACGGAGTACGGCAGGAACGACTAAGTGACTGTACGTGGGTGGTACCTTCCTCCTAAGCACAGTGCGCCTCTGCAACACAAGGCCAAAACTCCTGAAACCTGACGGGGCAACCACCGTCGGGGGCTCCTCTTTCCCAATCTTGCCGGGTTGCCACAGCCAATCACGGCTCTCAGATGAGTTGCTGGCCCCCTTGCCCTTTTTGCCCAGTCCCAATGTCCACCTGCCCAACGATCCACGAATCCATCTTCCAATATTCTGCCATGGCTAGAGACTTGCACAAACGCTATCGACATCTTTCATTGCGGTGAGCCGACACAATCTACACCACCTTACGTCAATATACGGATACGGATATGTCTTTGCACTAAATTCGAATTGTGCCGAACCACGACTACCCAGACCGTCTAAACTCTCAATCGCCCGAAACTTGCACGTTGCGGTTCGTCTCGACTCTTCAGACTGCCATATCAGGCTCGACCTGCGAGTCAATCCACTTCTGCTTCGGTACAAACAGAGCATTTCTCCATGATCGATCCTCCCCCCCCCCCCCCATCACATCCTCTCTCTGCAGGTAGATTCCGGAAGCCGTCACTTTCTCTTGGCCAGGATGATAGTCGTCCCCCACACGGCCTCAACCTCAATATCCCGCCACTTATCCCCCGCAGCTTTCCACTCCGGCACCGCCTCCAGCAACCGATCGAACAACAGATCCGCAATGTCCCCTTCCGCCCCGCCCTCCGCTCGGCTCTTCAGCTCCGGGTGCGCGTCTTTCCACCCCCGGTACGCGCTAAAAGTGTGCACATAACCTTCAAACTCGCCCAGCTTCATCGTCTTACGCTGCTGCCACGCCGCCCGCGGGTCTTCCGGCTCCATCACCTCCGTGTTCGCATCAGCCCGGGAGGTCTTCCTGTCCGGGTCGTACACGATGCGCTTGACCTTCTCCCACTCCGACTCGGGGGGCACAACCGCCGCCAGGTTATCCCGCAGAATCTGCCGCCCGGGCTTCTCCCAATACGGCCCCATCGTCTCCACCCCGCTGCCGGGTGACGACTCTCCTTCGCCGTAGCAAAAGTGCATAAAGATATCGTTGACAGCCGGGAATCCGACGAGGATGTTGTCCTTGTACCCCCAAAAGGCCAGCGTACCGCCGCTTTTGACCACTCGCGCCAGCTCCGGCCACACTTTATCGTAGTTGAACCAGTGCGCCGCCTGGCCAGCCACCACAAGGTCTACCGAGGCGTCAGCCACGAATGACAGATCCTCAGAGCTGGCCTGACGAAAGGTGATTTTTGAGTCCGAGGTTGAGTCTGCTGCTTGCTTCACCATGCCCGCACTGGAGTCAATGGCGATGACGCGAGCGAAGCTCGGGCTGAGCTCTCGCGAGATGAGACCGTGACCGCAGCCCAGGTCCAGCGCCGTGCCGCTTGTCGACTGAGTGTTGTGATACGCCAGCACCGTCCTGAAGAGTGACGCAGGGTAGGATGGGCGGAAGGCCGCATAGCCTGCGGCCGAAAAGGTTGAACGTCTGCAATCACATGTCAGCTTGAGACCGATGGCATTTGGAATTCTGCTGCCAAGATGGGCTCGCCCACGTACGCAAAAACAGACATCGTTAGCCGTGTAAGGAAGGTAAGCTGTTATAGTGAAGCTGCAAGGTTGCAGTTGCTGGCCCTGGCGAGATTGGTGGGTTGGTTGATGGTCCAATAAAGGCTCAATGATGTGTAATGCGTGTAGTCGCACCCGTCTTCTTTGACCGAAAAGACGGCGGCCATCCTCCATTTTATTCCCATGCTTCTTTCCGGCGGGATCCTTCCGACGATTCAGGGACCACGGCTATTCGGAACAAGACTGTCAAAGAAAACCTGCTATGATACATTGCCACGAGGGCATTTGAAAGCCTCACAGACTCAATCTCACATATCGAAACCCAAGCCCTGACTAAGATCCCAGAATAAGGCAGGTAGTAGCCGCGGCTCCGTGGTATGCATGGCAGACTTACAGTGGCAGGTCGCGTCATCAGCCGTGGCCCGCACGCCTCGGCCGCTCCCCCAAGGGTCCCACTGACGTGCTCGGAGGTCGGAGCTCTCAGCCTGGCCCCTCGAAACTCCATTTGAAGGTCCGAGTCGCCCGCCCGAGGAACCCCTCCATCTCCGTCTCCCTCGCTCTTCAACAACTCCCGTTGCCGCACCTCGAATACACTTTCCACAACTTGGTCCGTCCCGAAACTAGTGCCCGACATGTCGACCGAAGCCACGGCCCGTGTTTTCTTTTCGCAAAAGTTCATTGCGGTGGTGGGTGCCAGCTCGAACCCTGCCAAGTTTGGCAATAAGAGTGCGTTGTTCCCCGCTGCTTATTCCCGTGTCCAGGCATCACAGCTTGGTCTAAGCTCAAGGAGCTGCCACTCACTCACTCATTCACTCACACTCATCTCACTTGAAGACTCTCACTCTCACTCACACTCTCACTCTCACTCACATCTCTCTCCCGAGATCTCCAACTTCAGCCGTCACTAACATCCCTTGTAGTCTTCGCCTGGTACCTGAATCACTCCATCCCCGCCACCCCCATAAACCCGACCGCAAGCACCGTCAACGCCCTCGGAAAAGACCATCCGGCCCTCCCCAACCTCACGGCCCTGCCTCACCCCAAGGACACCGCCGTCTCCATCATCACCCCGCCGCCCGCGACCCTCAAGGTCCTGCAAGAGGCGAAAGAGCTGGGCGTGCCTGCCGTCTGGCTGCAGCCGGGCACCTTTGACGACGCGGTGCTCGAATACGCGCGCGGCGAGGGCGGCTTCGAGGCCGTCGTTGCCGGGTTCGGGGGCGGGACCCGCGGCGGGGAAGGATGGTGTGTTCTCGTTGACGGTGAGAGGGCGATGAAGGCTGCGGGGAAGCTATGATCGGCCTGGAGGTTTGTCCGATTGATTCGTGATATAAATCGTGGACCGTTCTAGAGTATGGGAATGGAGGGCCTGCTGAACGAGGGGTTCCTGAGATTAGATGCTGTTACGAGATGAATGAATACTAGTTTCCTACCAAAAAGGGTCACCAGCGACCCCAATGCGAGACTATAGAAGCAAACTACACTTGGGTTATGTTGATCCATGTACTAGACTCTGCGCTCCAATGAGCCCTTCGTTCATCCTCCATGGATCCCCCATCGTGAAAGATGCCGCGTTGGCGATCTCGTGCCGAGATAGCTCCGTCCTGGTCCGTCTTTAAAGTTGTGACGGGCGCATCTTCTGCATCGTTTGGACCGGCATTCGCTGAAGGTCACACCACCCCTCCATCAACCGTTCAAATTCAAATATCCAACCCTTCTGATGCATCTACAGGACGATCGCTCTTGGGATCTTGGGTTGCCTCATGGTACGGACACAACCGGGCTCGAGATCGAGTCGAGGGCTGTGCTGCCAAGTCTGGGGTAACGGGTAGCGTATAATGCCGGGGCCGCATCTGCCGCCCTCCCCCTCCTTCTCTGCCCTCCGACAACGCCTCCCAATTGAGCCTCAAGTGATTCCATCATGACATGTACATTTATCGACTCTAAGCCTCCACGCCAAGTTCCGTGTGTGGCCGGGTTGCATGGACCACCAGCCAAGTCCAAGTGTCAGGTCTCGGGGTGTTGAACAGTCTTCTCCTCAGACCAACTCAACCCATCTTTTCAGGTCCAGCATCCCATCTCTCCTCGACTCCCAACTCAACTTCTCAAACCCTTTTGTTCATTCTTACTGTCCTTTTCCGTCGCGCCGTGAGTTATGGGGCATCTCAACGAAGTAGGCAATGACTCTGAACATGCAATGATGGAACGCACACGCCTCATCCGCTACCCCGACGCTCCCCATCCCATTGACCCGTCACACCCCCTAGTCCATAGTAAGATAGCGACAAAGTGTGGTGAGGTGTAGAGCTTT